CTGAAATTGCTTCCAGCAGTATTATGCTATAGTTGTGGTGTGGATTTTGCTATTCTGTTAGAATTAGAGTGATTTTAAAACGTTATCATTATACTTATTGTTACAGTTTTTGTTCTTTGTGTGAAAGGCCTCAATTTACCAGAAGCCCCCATACCAAACTTTAAAATTCACTGTAATACACTATAGGTCAGGGTTGTTATAACTGGAGATCCTGAGCAGAGACACAGCTGAGCTGGAGTTTCATTGAGCCTGCTTTAGATTTAAAATGCTTATGTACCACTCCATTTGACATGTGGTTCACATTTATAGTTTAATACATTTATGTATTTTAAAATGTCAAAGTTACTATAATACTATACACTATAGTGCTATTTTGGATCAACATCAAAGAAAGCTTTTTTTAGACCCTCACCAAAGACAAAAAAAATAGTGGTCATAAAGTCTATTACATTATTTAAAAGGAAGGTGAAGCCATACACTGAAAACCAGACAAGCAAATGCAAGTTACACCAGCCAAACCTTTACTTCATGTACTAGTAGCTAGCTGTTGTACATGCCTAATGCAATTTATCATTTTAAATCTCATAGATGAAGTTTTATTATATTTGTACTGAGAATAATCAAAGCTGTTTTAATATTATAAAAAGTATTAACTGTATTGACACTATTACCTATTACCAATTCACCTGTTTACTGCGAACTGTTTTACATTTTCAGTTTAATTTGGATATTCTATAACCTTTTCACTTTTATTTTGCCTCTGTCTAAACTTTTTTGGAGTGTGTTGCAGCCATCAAAATCAATTTTTTTTATATTTACAAAATACATTTAAGTTGGTCAGTGAAAACTTTGGAAATCTTTTTTTTTTTTACTTTTGTCAATTCAATAAAAGTTAAAGAGAATTAACAAATCACAGATTCTATTTTATTGCATTTTACAAAACATCCCAACTTTTCTGGAATTGGGGTTGTAATAGTCCACAGTGACCTACAAATCAACAGCACATTCAGTGTTTCTACGTAACTTTGTCCTTACATTGACAAGTACTTGTGAAGCTGTGTCCATGGTCTCTGTCTGGTCGCGTCTGTCATACAACTCACACTTGCAGGAATGTCCTGTTTGCATCTGTCAATGTGGCTGTAAAGCAGTTAAGCGCAATTAAGAGGTTGTCTTAAGGGTGGACTTTGAAGAATAAGGCCTAGAGCTATAGAAAAAATTAAGCCTATTGGCAAGACATAAATCAGCATTCTAGCCCAAAATAAACATTACATTTACCATATATAATAAATGAGTAATTTAAATAAATATTGTATGACTCTTGTCATGTTTTTGTAATGTATTTTCTTCAAATTATGCCTAAAAACTGTATCCACAAATTATAAAATAAATTTCACAAGTTACCAAAAAATAAATAAATAAATAAATAAATATATATAACATTTTAGGGAGAAAAAAAACAGAACACCCTACAGTAATATAATACAGTAATATAATAGATCCTAAAGTATTAATAAAGAAAGTTAAATAGTATGTGAATATAGAAAAACTGTGATTTTCAAGAGTTAGGAAGCACAGATGTTATCATGGTAAAACAGGAATTGAGATCTATTTTATGTTTTCTATGTGTAATGTATCTCAGTATTGCACCTAAAAGTGTCTTCTCAAATGGACTAGTAAAGCATATTTTTACAAACCGACTTAAAATAAATGTCTTATGAGCCACAACAGACTTCCATTAATTCGTTGTCTACCTCCAAGCATTCCATGTACAGTGGTACTTTTAAATTACAAGTGCTGTCAACAATGCATAAAGCACTCAAGCTGCTCTCAGTGACATTATATGTTCATGAATGACATCGATGTATTTTTTAATATTTTGACATTTTAGGGGAAACCCATGCGGTCTTAAAGTAACCACCACTGTGCCTATAGGAAAGACAATTCAAATTAGACAATGAACATTCAACAGCATCCCCTCCCAAAATAAAAAATGTTTGTAAGTTGCCTTGTGGATGTAATTTGCCCTCATTGCTGATTTATTGAAGACTCAATGGTCTATATCAGGGGTGTCCAAACTCGGTCCTGGAGGGCCGGTGTCCATAAGAGTTTAGCTCCAACCCCAATTAAACACACCTGAACCAGATAATCAAGCTCTCACTAGGCATACTAGAAACTTAAAGGCAGGTGTGTTGAGGCAAGTTGGAGCTAAACTCTGCAGGACACCGGCCCTCCAGGACCGAGTCTGGGCACCCCTGGTCTATATACTATGTTATTTCCAAGAAGTCTTCAGCAACAGCACTAGGAGGGTCATCTTTAACTCTACCATGAAAGGATTTGTTTATCTACTCATCAGAGTGGCTTTTCAGGAATGGGCTCTGGTCTGATTAACATTTGAACAATCATCACAAACTCTTACTTTTGAGTCCTTTGATGGTCACGCTCTGCAGATATTGACTTGTCAACAGACTCATGGCCTGGTCTTATGATGACTCAGAGTGGAGTAAATACTGTATATTTGAGTAAAAGTTACTAAAAAGTGTTTAAAGAAGAATTTCAGTGAAACACTACATTAAAATATGCAACAAATGAATCAGTCATTGGAAGACAGGCAGTAATAGTGTAAATTGTATTCCCTTCAGAAAACATGGCTTTCGAGATTTCTAAATTTGTGGTCTCAGCTACCAGCTTAGCTACAAACAAAATCTTTAGTGTTTAGAAACTCAGACAAGCCATAAAATTAAGACATTTACAAAGTCTGGCATCATGATTCAATGGCAAACGTTGTGAGAAAATAAGCTAATATCATGTCTTATTCCTCCCTCCCTCACACATCCACAAGTGACAAATGAAGCTTGTTCGGAGATGATTGACTCCATTAAATTAAGCTTAATTTTCTCTGTTTGTTTGTCTCGCTTAATGATTCATGTAATCCTGTTCTTTAAACTTTGACAGCTTAGAAACATATTTCCATTCCCTTGTCATGTAAACAGAAGACCCCATGCGGCTTTACACACATACACAAATTCCATACTCAAGCCAGATTTTGAGGAAGTTTAGTACGGTTGATCAAATGTAAAACTAGAATTTTTTTGAGTTACAAAACAGTTGGTGGTCATACTGACCAACCTGTCATGTCATGGGTGCTGGGCAAGTGACATTAGGCGAGGGAACAAGGGCCTCTTAAAAATACCTCATGGTCTAAAGCTGCTTATAGGGAAATGAAGTCAGCTTGTAAGCACAGGGTGGGAGACGTTTCTTAGTCACTTCCCTGTCTCATTTCTGCACATACAGAAGAGTTTCACTCCAGTAAGAACTGAACTGAACTGAACTGAACTGAAGACATACTGAGGCTGAAGATTTACAATGAAAATATTACTACTACTACGTTATACAATATATATAAAATATAGATAGATAGATAGATAGATAGATTCTTTAGAGAAAACTTGAAAAATTATGTCCCATGATGCTAAAGATCTGGTATTTTATTTTATTTCACTTTATTTTTTATTTTATTTTATGTTTAGAACATATTACATATGTACATATTACATACTGTATACTAGTATTAGCACATATGTGCATATGCTAGTATTAACATCATTCTGTAGACATAACTTGCAAATTAATAATTTACAAAAATTAAAAAGACAAAAAAAAATTAAAAAAAAAAGATGAAGGAGAAGAAAAGAAAAGAAAAGAAAAGAAAAGAAAAGAAAAGAAAGAAAAAGTGGACTATAACATATTCAAGGAATGCCACTCAGCAAATCAAATTCCAAGATCAGAAATAGCTAATGATCTACAAATAATGATAAAAAGGAAAATTAAGCAGGAAATAAAAAAAAATAAAAAAAGTGAACCATAACATTCAAACTTTTACAAAGGAATGCCAATCCAGTATTCCTCTAGAACACTCTAAATCTTCTACACGTACAGTATGTAGGTCCATTACAATTATTATAAACACTTCAATGCTTCACATCATCATTAAATACTATTCATTTCCCCAAAGCATGCTGTCCCACATTCTCAATCATATTTGATAATGTGGGACAACAACAAAATGTTTGAAAGAAAAAAAACTAAAACACATTTTCAACACTTTAATACATTTTGATGCTTGAATAGATCACAAACATAATTTGACAACAATTAAGAACATTGTATTATTTATGACATATTTATGTCCTTAACATTAATCTAGTCAGAAACTGAACAGACTGGTACTTTTAAACACAGGGCAATCAGGGGAACACAGGTGCATGGAATCAGTCAATTAACTGGGACACGGAACACATGGAGAGGGAAAACACAACAAAAACCAGTCCATAATCCTGACATATCGCCCCCCTTCCGGAAGGTGCATCCTCGCGCCGTAGAACAACAGGGGGGGGACGGGTGGGAACTAAGGAGGAGGCTCGGGAGGAGGACGGGCACCCGGGAAGGGGCCAGCAGACAGAGACCAGGGAGGCAACGAATGAGGGAGGAGACAGGAGGGGCCCAGAGCAGGTGGAGCACAGCAGGACCCAGGCCACAGCCATAACGGTGGCCCACGGTGGAGCCGACGGAGGGAGGAGCCCGAGGCGGAGATAGAGATCCGATGATCCAGGGCGACAGGGAGGATCCGGAGGTCCTAGGCGGAGCAGATGGCGCCGGCGACCGATGCGAAAGCATGGATCCGGGAGGCCGCGTTGGAGCCGGAGCGAAAGAGGACTGATGAGGAACCGAGGGGATGAAGGAGCCTGATGGAGCCGGAGGGACGAAGGGACGAGGCGAAGCCAGAGGAGTGGAGT